GCAAAACTAACCGTGCTTGGATTTGTAGCTTGCCTTTTTATGCTTCTTGTCCTTATCCTGCTCCTTCTTCTTCTTGTAGTACTTGCCATCTTTTCCTTTGACTTTCTTGAATTTGTCATAGCCCTTCTTGAACTTTTTGCCATGCTCCTTCTTTTTGCTTCCTGTTGCGTACTTATCTCCTTTCTTCTTTTTCATGTGCTTTTCATCTTCATGATACTTCTCAACACTGTACTGTGGTTGGACGTATTTATAATCGAAATAGCCTCTCGTTTTAGTTTTCTCATCTGAAATTGATCATGTTATAGGAGCGCAGGAATCTATAAGTTGAGAAGGCTTGTATACAACATATTCTATCACGGAAAAGTGCTAATCAAGTGCTCATAGGCACCAAACTTATCTTTCTTGTAATCCGTATCAGTTTTCTTGAACTTGCTGGCTTCTTTTTCGTGCTTCTTTCCCGACTTGCGATGTTTGTCATCGGAGCTCTTCTTATATCCTTCCGATTTCTTTCCTTTATCTCCTTTATCGTGTTCATATTCATCAAGAGCATGAGACTCATGGGAGCCGTCATGAGATAATCGCTTTTTGTCGGATTCTTTATCTTCATATGAACTGTGCTTATGTTTTTTGCCATATCTGAGTGGAAAACAGGAGCAGTTGAAAGAAAACGGTCGGAATGAACAAGTTGTTAAAGTAACTCACTTCTTCTTATAAGTGTCATGAAAAGCTAGCGAAAGAGCTATCAGGAGCAAGAATAGGTACGCATGGAATACTGTTGACATGATACGCACTTACCACTGTGTCTCGACATTATATAATGCTCATCTGGGTCACCAACTTAGTATAAAAAGAACGCATCGTTAAGGTACTAAACAATGAAACGAGATCTGCATAACTTCTTTTTATGTGCCATACCGCTGTGTCAAATAGCGGAGGAAGAAGCGTGGAAAGGGCATTGGTGTCATTGACAACATATTTCATGTAGACAAACGCCAGCGTAGATTGCCGGGGTCGAGAATTTGCATTGATATTTGAGTCAATTTAATGCTTAATTCAAAGCCTCACTACCAGAAAGATACGACAAGATTATAATCATACCATTTTAAAGATACTAGATAAGGACTGCATCATCTGTGGCTCTGCTCCGACTTGCTGTCTCGCCCATTCTCAAGGTCGGGCGCTGCTCCAGAAATTAAAAATCTGTAACTTACTAGCACTATATATGACAATTACACTTCGCTCGCAGTTGAAGAATCCCGCACATTTTGGTTTACTTTTAGGTGAAGGTTGTGTTTGAAGTTATGACTAGAAAGGTGAATTTCAAGTTTGGAATCACGTCAGAAGAAGGCCGCAATAAACAGCCGTTCCTTGAGAGGGCTGTAGCAGAAGCTCCGCTACTTTTTTGTTTTTCCGAATAGAAACACTCATAGGAACCCTTTTGACGGACTATATCTTTTGATCATGTTGACCTAAAAATTTTTGTCTGAATGTCCATGGTAAATGCATCATAAATTTACCCACTAAGTATGTGTGTATCTGCTAGTGCTATTGCAATGCTAATTCAATAGGACTGGCAAAGGTGTCGCGCTACTATCGTGCATAAAAAGACGGTAACATCCTATCCTATTTAATCGAAAACTGCTAATCAAATGCAGCAAGCATTTCAGTGGAACAATGTAAGCAAAAAAAATCTCATTCAAAACGCTTGAGGTTTCTTGGATCAAAACAGCACTATATTTGATCTGAATAGACATGGCAGTTTTTATAGTGTATGCAAAAATTGTGGGATGGAATGTTGGCAAATTCAGTATCCTTGCAGGCCCTTCTCGCAAATATAACGATAACGCCTGCGTCACAGAATTTGCCTTTTTTTCTTGATATAAAAAAAGCACGATCTTGAGATATTGTAGGTAATTCAATTTGAAACTCATAGCTCATTTGTTTTTTCTAGTTAATTTCTATGCTGTAAATCCGACTTGGTAAATGTCTGCTGTGAAATATTTCAGCTCTAGATCGTGGAAGTTTGAAAGCGAACTGCCAACTTTCACCTTTGAAAGCGATCTTTTAAAGGTGAAAGTTGGCAAAAAAAGTTTGGCTTCTGATTCCGTTGGTGTTTATCCTACCGCATACGTGTGGCCACAAAATATTAAGATTTCTGTGCTGAAAACGCAGCGTAAGTCGCGTATGTTGGACAAACTGCCAAAGCTTAGCTCTTATCTTGATGAAAGTTGCAGCATAGTTTGCAGCATGATTCCGGAAAAATATTCATTTGCAAGACTATATGGCAAGCGCCATATAGTCGCCGTGCCCATTAAGAGATGCTATCATTCACCCTTGAGCTATTAGGAGACTTGAAAATGTGGTACGCATGTGCGAATCCAGATCAAAAATTTGTATCTTCCCATTTAGCGTGATTTAGCCGCTTCAGGTGCCCGCAACAAAGACATGAGCGCGTGAATCAACGTGTACACTGCGTTTCTAGAAGAATTTGGAATGTTTCCAAATTGATCCTGAAGTGAAATTACTCAGAAGTACAACTATATCTAGGAGTGTTGGCCATGATCGCAAAGAAATGGTTCAGCTGTGCTATTTTGAAGCATTGCAACATAAATTAGGTTAGAAAATAAGTTTTTCAAATGGTCTCATAACTTTTCTCTCATTAGATGTGGGGCACTCAAACTTTGACCTTATA